AAAGTATGACGGAGGGTATTTGCATACCATTTACGAAAGTTCAGGAGTATATTTATCCTTTTTTTCCTTTTATTTATTTTTCGATTCAACCTTCTCACCGACGAAGGGTAGTCAGATGCGGCTCTTAGTGATCTAAAATTAAATTTTAGTGAAGATCTTAAATTATTAATATATTTTTATAAAGTATTCTTCTAACTTTTTGAGCTACAAAAATTGTTAATCACTTTATTATAGTCAATTTCTATTAATAATTCTTATTCAATTGATTAATAACTAATCTGATATTTCTCCATACATAAGTTAAACTTTATTTTCCTTTTTACGGAAAGATTAAATTATTTATTTTTCAACTCTTTAGAGCAAAAACTGATCGAAATTTCTCTATTTTTTAATTCGAGATTTTATATCTGAGCTCTAAAAATGAAATAAAATGATATATATTTGACATTTATGGTTTTTTTATTGGATCGTGCCAGTAGAATAGGTCGATAAAATAATTAAAATGGATAGGCTTTTATTTCTTATAAATTTAATATTGAATAAAAAATTTATATGAGCAAAATTAATGAAAAATTATTTACTCCATTTTCTTGTTTTTGTTGTTGGTAGCTTGTTTGTTCATACATATTTTCTCTTTGTTTTCCGAAAAAGACAAGATTAAAAAAATTACAAAAAAGGATAACTTTTTGCAATATTTTAGAGAAGGTTAGTTTGAATCAAACATTCGCGGGTGAATATTACAAGTAACGCCTTTTCTTGAGCCATATGCACCTAATTGGTTGAGTAATTTTGTGAATAAAATATTAATAATCAAGTGACTTTAAATTATATATATCTTGGAGAATTAATCTTAATTGGATGATCATCAAAATTAAAGTTAAAACTCTAAATATTCTGGTTTAAAAGTAGTTGTAAAATCATTCCAGAATAGTACGTTTGAAGGAAATTTCTCCATAATTTCTAAGTCATAGAATCTCAAAAGTTACGTCGTCATTTTTAGTGATTAAGAAACTTCCCATATAGTTTGCAATGTAACAGCTAGAATAAATCTATAAAAGGTTTAAGAACTTCATTTGTTCATTAGTTAGTCTCTTCGTTTCAAAATAAATGATGTTTTAAAATGAAATATCAGTCTAACTCATCTCAATTTGTGATTAATACAATGCTCCTCCTCAAATTATACCGTACTAAATGATTACGCCATGAACACATTTGTGCATCCTTTTTCCTACTATGACAATTCATTTACTAAAACTGGTAATGATTTGCTTGAGTTTAAGATTTTTTGTATCCTTGTTAATCAGCATATTATCAACAATCATAGAGTCTAGCTAGTTCCAAAGAAAAATTGGTAAAGCCTTGTTGAACGACCAAAGTGGGCTCATGTACGAGATAGGTGCAACAAATACTGATGGTGCTATTTTTCATAAATTCTGTTTTCTTTCACAGAATATATAGTATGCACTCCTAAATCTTAACTTTAAAATTGGAGGTGAAATATGGTTATCATTCGAACTAAAAATGTAAGTGATGAAATGGCTTTGATTTGGCTCTTGTTTCCTCTAGATTTATAGCACGCTAGGCTAACTAAGGAAGATATTCTATCTTTCTCTTTGACTCGATAAAATTATTTAGAATTCTCTTCCATATTCTTCTTTCTAAAAATATAAAGACTATAAAATCGTTGACGGGTTGTTCTAAGATATAGAAATAGTTAATGGAGGGTTAACACTAATTTTAAAATGAAATTAAAGTAAAGTTGTGACCTAATATCACGAGGAAAACCGGTGATTTTCTCTTCACGTTGTTTTGTCTCCCCTCTTGCCAACCTTCACTTGCACTCTACTCCTTTATATCTATTACTATCACCTCTCTCCCCTCACTCTCACACTCTATTTCTCTCTCTAAAACCTTCTCTTATTAGAGAGAGAAACTCCAGAGAGTCGACACTTTTTCGTCTTCTCTAATTTTCTCTTATATAGCTATAGCTCTAGCTCTACAATAATGGATGTCTACGGCGTGCACTCTGCACCTGACTTGTTTCGTATCGATGATCTTCTCGATTTCTCTAACGACGAAATTTTCTCCATTAATAACAACTCCTCCAACACCGACTGTAACCACCACCATCAACCTCACTCACACAACTCCTCCGCCGCCGGAGCCGCCAATTATTACGATGCTCTTCTTCCTAATTCTTCCGACGATTTCACCGATAACCTCTGCGTTCCCGTAAGAATTCTCATCAACACGGACTAGTTTACATCAATTATTCAGAAATTATAGCTGTTTTTAATTTGTACTATTTTTTTTTTCGTTGCAGAGTGATGATGTAGCGGAGTTGGAATGGTTATCGAACTTTGTAGAAGATTCATTTAGTAATTTTCCGGCTAATTCCGTAACCGGAACGATGAATATCAGTTCCAATACTGCGTCGTTTCACGGAAGGTCAAGAAGCAAACGTTCTCGTTCTACTTCAAGCTGGACATCGTCACTCCAAAACACTAACGCTACTACTTCTATGAAGAACAAGGAGAGTTCAGTATATACCAGAGAAAGGTCGTCTTCAATGGATGAAGATGTGCCACGGAGATGCACACACTGCGCTTCGGAGAAAACGCCGCAGTGGAGAACTGGGCCTCTAGGCCCAAAAACACTCTGCAATGCCTGTGGAGTTAGGTACAAATCGGGCCGGCTAGTTCCGGAATACCGACCCGCAGCTAGCCCAACTTTTGTGTTAACACAGCATTCAAATTCTCACCGGAAAGTTATGGAGCTCCGTAGACAGAAGGAAGCGATCCATCAACCGCAGCAACAACAACAAATGCTGCCGTCGACGGAGGAAGGAATGTACGGACATCACTTTCGGGTCTGCTGACGTCATATAATGAGAGAAGAGACACGTGTCTTCACCGCCGAGCTAACCGTGGACTCCTTTTTTTTTAAATTATTATCATCATGCTAATTTTACAATCTGAAACGTTCTTTTTTTCTTTGTTTAGTTTTTTTAATTTCGTGGGATTTTCTTGAGAAAATAGAATTTCAGAATAATCTTTATGGAGTAGTACTATTATTATTGTGTTGGTGTAATTTTTGGAAATTTGAGCAACGCATTTTTATTGAATTTCGCAACTGCCGATTGGGGTTGCGTGATGGGAGGTGGGCTAGGCATTGCACGTGACTCGTATAGGCTTCAAAATATTCTACATTTTACGTCACGTTGGATTAAACAGTAATCACATGGCTATCGACTGAATATAATCAAACTTACGCTTATCAAGTCAGCAGATTCAATGCATCCCTATACTAATAAAATGAGTACAAATATATTTGTTTGTGTGTCACAACTAATCATAATAACATATTTAATATAGTTTTATAAATGGAGTATCAAGAGGGTGAGTTATACAAAAGTTTTATAGTAGAAATATTATTTTCGATAGATTTTTGGGATTGAGAAACTCATTTTCCCAAACAAAGTTGTGGATGTTGTCTAGTGTTACTTACTCGATGAATTGCAGTAATAAGTTGTCATGGTTACCAACATGGGTTGTAGTGTACTGGTGGGAGTGTTTTACCCTTAACAAGAGGTCTCGGGTTCGAGCCCTGGGTATGGAGAAAATCTTGTTGGGAGCGCTACCCCCGAATGAGCCTGTAGTGCGCGATCCGAATTTAGTCGGAGCTCCAATGTGAGCTCCGAACACCGGATGGGAAACCCAAAAAAAAAAAAAGTTGCCATGGTTGGAGTTGTAGTCCAATTATTGAAGCTTCATTTTGCATTACTTTGCTACTCTGTCTCTAAGCTTTTCATTACAAGTTCACTCCCAATTACGGACAACTGTTCTTCTCTAATGTGCAAAAGTTTTAACCATATAGTTCTGTTCTGTAAAAATGCAGATATTCTGAGGGCCTGTATGGCCATGAAAATAGCTCTATTACAGTACTTTATTAAACTATCATATCTTGATAAAAGAGTAAAGGACAATAATGACATATTTCGAGTTAAAAGTAAAAGTCGCGACACAAATGTTCTTGAAACCAATTTCACTGTACTAAAAATATATCTTTCACATGCACTTGTCACTTTTAGCATAATAGTATATTTTTTCATGTTTTACTTTTAGCATTAATTACTTATTCTCATAGTATTATGATCATCAGATTTTCTAACAGGCCAAACCTAGATATCTGAATCGTTATTTTCACGGTAATATCTCATCTACTATTAACTTCACTTTCATTCTTCTTGTGGGGGATAAACAATTGGTGCACATGAACCATCAAAAAACACTACAACGTTACTTCTCTTATTTAACTTTGAATTGGCCAACTATGGCTCACCAGTTTGCTTAGTACAAACAGCATAACTAGTAGTTCAAAATGGCCAACTGCTAGAATTTAATGGCACAGAGCAGGAATATGATAGTCATGACAAAAGGTTTTTCTGTTTTTGCTTGTAAATTAGGGTCTGAAGTTGTACAAAGCAAGGGTTAGATTCCAGTAACAGCGATCTCTAGTCAGTAAAAACCCCATGCCCCAAAACTTTTACACTCAAACCATCACTTATTCAGAATAGAAAAAAAAAACAAGCAGAATCCCTGACTCTCAAGGCTGTGCAGCGAAGTCAGAGTTGATAACTGAACTATAAAATGACCAGAACCGGAGCTTCCTGAATGCTCTTTCTTAAATGAAAAGGAAAAGGAAGCAAAGTGAAGGGAGACAGAGAAACAGAATTTGGCGACTGACGTCCACCATGTGTTGGATCATATAAAACAAGAGTGCAGTTTAGTCAGATGGATATGCCATAATTGCTTATCTTTGTAACTTCCTTGGTGAGAACATTCCTTTCCTTTTTTGCCTCTGAAGCAAGGTTGGAAACCTGATGACAGAAATCAATGTCATCAAGAGAAGATGGTATAATTTCCACTTTTTTTTTTTGATGAAGGAGATTTCATTAGAAGGTATCAAAAAGATGCAAGGCAAAAAATCATGGTGTATGTGGCCAAAGTCCAATTATATCAACTTTTACTTTTTTCTTTTTAGAATAAATAAGTGGGAAATGGATAATTTCCACTTATTTATTCTAAAAAGAAAAAAAGTAAAAGTTGATATAATCGGACTTTGGCCACATACACCATAACATCACAGCATTCCCATAGCATGTTAATGATTTGCATCATTTAACTGAAGGAGCAAATATCCAAATTGAAGCCCTCGTTTTGGATTCTAAAAACTAACACTTAAAAATACATCATTTGAATCTTAATCAGTTGAACTTCATTACAATTTAACCCCACCACATATCAAATAAGTGAAATACGCCTAATGTCATACCTGATACCATATGGTCAAAGTATTATCATCACTAGTCAGGAGCAATTTCGGTAATTTTTGTAGTAAGTTATTCTAATATTATTTCGGCAGAAGTTCATACAGGAATATTTGTTCAAATAATTGTAAAGTAATATTTTTGAAGTGCAACAGAGTTCTGTGAGATGAAAGAGAAATTATTTGTTAGTCATGCCACATCTCAAAACGTACCAAAGTGTGCATTCCAGAATTTCTCTTTACTCTCAATCTGAAATTTATAGAATGTGCTTGGCTGCTGGCGTGTATTGCATGTGGCAAGAGAGGAACAACTGTATATTTCAATGCAAATCACGGCCAGTTGAAGTGATTGTGAAGATGATAGTTCAGAAAGTTTACTTTCGAGGGAACTTGAAATCCAGGGTAGCTAGGAAATTGCAAACTTTGAACTTCTATCCTAGTTAACAAATAGGTCCGATGTCTAGAAGTTTTTGGTTGTAACCTTAATCACTGGGGCTCTATGTATGGTTGTAAGGTTGTTTTTCAGCACTGCAATTCTCATTTAGGTAATGTAAAAGTTCTTAGTTACCAAAAAAAAAGGTGGTTCATATGTGTTAAATATGCAAAGCAGCCAAAACAAAGTCAGATTAAGATAGTACAGGCATTAGATTATGTTTGATTTCAATTCTTAAAAGTTACTACATATTGCAACATTGTTTAATAAACAATAAGCATTTATATAAGAGGAATGGGCAGGTGGTGATTATAATTTCAAAAGGAAAAAAAAAAACTGAAGTAGAGTTGGCTTTCGAGGATGAAAAGATTAAATTCCCAATTTCTTGTGACCCGTGTCTCCTCCCAAATTTACATTGCAAGGAAGTAGGATTTACAATGCAAAGTCATATGAGGAAGTAGTCAACTAACTGGCTCAATCAGTCATGCTTTCCCATTTTAATTTTCTTGTAAGGCCAAATCTCAAATTCATAGTTCAACAAGTGCAAATATGTTTTCATCTCTTATTTTTTCATAGCAAATTTAAGGTCTTAAGGAAATAGTAGACGAGTCTATTTGATATTTAGAAAGGAGCAGTGTAGGGAACTTACTTGTGACCGGAAGAGTGCAACTTCTCTTCGGGGAAGCTCTTTAAGAACATCTTGAAGACCTAGAGAAAACATATATTAATCAGAGAAGCTCCTACCTAATAAATCACTTATAAAAAATATTTGATTTGCTAAGCTATGTCTCGTCCATATGACAAGTGAGGATTATGGACTTCCTTGAACAAGGATAAACAGAGAGAGTTGATTGCAAACCTGTAGCTTGCCTTTCTATCTTATATGCCGACTGTATGACACTACGGATTTGTTTGCCTGCTTGCCTGTATAAAGCATTAAGATTGAACAGAAAATCCAGCCTGCTAAGAAATATTAGTCATGAAGTATACACAACAAGGCAGCTGGAAATGCAAACCTGAGTTTTGTCCTTCCTCGTATCATCTCTCCTTCAGCTTGTATCGCTTGATTCTGCAATGATAAGCTAAGAGTAAGATTCACTTCACTTCATGAATAGATTTGTCTACAAAGTAATGTAGTTTTTATTGAACTAATCAAATAGGCAATCATCACTAACTTTTACAGCTTGACAAACATTTGTTCCCCCAGCACCAGTTAAAATGAATCCGTCCAAAAAAAATAAAAAATTAACGAATCATAACCCATAAATCAGGGAAAAGAAAAGGTCATACCTCCAATTTCGCACTTTCAGCCTTCAGAAGGTCAATTGACTTCTGTAATTCTTTGACTTTTGCATCTGCCCTAGAAAGCAAGGCCTGCTCCCATGATAAAAAATTAGAAATTCATTATTAATGTGATAAATTTTGTAACAAAATAACCTGCTACTGGTAATTGTCACAAGAACTCAAGCTACTCTAACCAGACAGTATATCCATGAACAATGATTTCAAGTGTTACACAAGCCAAATCAAAAAATCTCACACGAGATATAAAGAATTAAGCAATTTGTCCTCTTTTATCACTGGTTCCTAAGCATATAATGAATCTAAGGTCCTCCAATTTGTAACAATACAACCAGCTACTGGTAATTTGTCAAAAGAACTCAAGCTATTCTAATCAGACAGTATACCCATGAACAATTATTTCCAGCATTACACTAGCCACATCAAATATTTGAGAATTGGTAAAACATAAGCCACATCAAATATCTCACACTTGATATAAATAGAATAACCAATTTAGTCCTCTTTTATCACTGGTTCCTAAGCATATAATGAATCTAAGGTCCTCCAATTTGTAACAATACAACCAGCTACTGGTAATTTGTCAAAAGAACTCAAGCTATTCTAATCAGACAGTATACCCATGAACAATTATTTCCAGCATTACACTAGCCACATCAAATATTTGAGAATTGGTAAACATAAGCCACATCAAATATCTCACACTTGATATAAATAGAATAACCAATTTGTCCTCTTTTATCACTGGTTCCTAAGCATATAATGAATCTAAGATCCTAAATGAATTTCAGATATACTCCTGTCACATGGAGAACAACATGAAGCACTGGTAGTTACCTCTTCACGCACAAATAGCCGCATAGCACTGTAGTACAAAAAACGCCTTGGCCCTGCAAGAGTAAGGATCACTCAGGCAAACAGGAAGACGAAGGACCAAACAGGTTGGACACACATATGAGTCTTATGTACAAAATTTTGTAGGATACATTACATTGACCTCCTTTCTAGTTATTTCATAATAGCTTAGATCTTTAACCTCTCTTTTAGTCTGCATAATAACATAGATCTAAGTTAAGTTTTTCCAATAATTGCATTTACCTTGCCTCAGTTTCCACAAAGAAGGCCAAGTATTAACAAGACGATTAGCTTGACACTTCTTGCTGATCTGCCCATGCTATAAAATGTGACAACTAAATAAAAATAAAGGGCACAAGGTAGACATCAAGAAAACACAATTTTTTGCAAGTTCTCCTTATTTTTTGACACGTCGTTCCAAATGAAATTGTTACAATAAACCTCAACTGCCAATAGAAGACCTGATACATCAGCAACTTTGGCACATCAAAGAACAAACCTTATGACAAAAGGGCAGACTTTTGTACCAACTATTTGAAGCCCAATGCTGCAGCATGTCATCATAAACCAAATAAGAGGTCTCTCTAGTTTTAACAAAGTACAAGGGAGGTTAATTAAATTATATAATGATATATTGTATACATACCTATGATACTCAAGTAAGAAAAGTCCAATCCAAGCAAGATGATAGTAGACAACTAAAGCTAGGCTAAAATGAGCCAAATGCACAATCAAACACCCTTTGAGTCCTTTATCGTATGGGACCCAAAGGGAATGAGAATCAAGTAGATAACACTTTGACTATGTCAAACCACATGTGTCCATCCCAGAAATATCATTCAGCACCTAAAGACTTGAATAGACTTACGTTTCAGACCCAGGACTCCAACACCAAGAACAGCTCCAGTAGTTGCTAGGGGGTGTGAAGCAGCAAGGAGAAGACCCTCTGCAACATATTCTCCATTGATCAAAGCTAAGGCTATGGAGAGAAATTAAAACACAACATAACAATTGGATGAATGGTAAGAACTAACCTTTGATCTTCCCAAAAGCCAAGTCCTCATATACACTATATTCAGACTTCAAATCTTGCAAGGTATCCTGCAACCAGCAAGCCCAAATTTAAGTAACTTATGCAATGACCAAAAGAATAACACGTAATCATTACTTAAAAGAAACCATCTTATTTGAGGTTAGCATAAGTAAGGGGTTTTCCTAAGAGGAATAGGTCTCGGAAACACTCAATAGGGTTGTATCATGCATCATCTGCTCCAGTTTTTATGCAATACAAGCCAAATACTCCACCATGTTGGGAAGAGATCTGATAGAAGGGAAACAAAAGCAAAGATGATAGGGATAGTACAATCTTCTCATTCAAATGTGCAGCATGTCATCCGACATCCAAAGCAGATGAGGCTTGATTCCTCCCAAAATCCATAATACTGTAGAGAGTATCAAGAACTAAAAACAACCTAACAAACTCAGTAATTGTTGAATAACGAAAAATATATCATTGCAGTTTTGGTTTCCTCAAAAGCCTCATTATTTTTTCATGAACCGAAATTATTAACCAATTCAGTGCTCAAAGTACTGTATAAGCTGTCTATACGATTCAACCCTAGCCATCCACAATCATCTCAATCTGCCAACAATCCAAATAACACATTTTTCTCTCTTTACGCCTAAAACGCAAGTGAAATAAAAGGAATCTTTTAATGATTTCTACATCTCTCTCTATTTTGAAACATTTTTCTGATTCTTTCATTAGATGTGAGCCAAAGGGGGATAGTGGTGTTGGACATTGACAAACTAAGATGTGGTAGTTTAATACTATTAATTCCTATAATTTATAAATAGGACAAACTTCAATAATCTCAGCAACGGTGCTCCAGTTCTCAGGTCTTAATTCATCAAAAATAGATGCACTTCTATGGTTGTCCAATTTCAAGAATTGGACTGAGATAGTTGTGTTTTGGTAACTTGTGCAACAAATTTCCAGTTATTTACTTTTGAGTGTTGAATATATTTTCTCCAAGGAAAATATAGCCACCAACGAGGAGCTAATGCTTCCTTCTGATAAGCAAATCTACCCTCACTTACAAACATCATACATCTTTACATATCACTTACTTCAATCAAAACGTAGAGCTTGTTGTGAATATAAATATTATCCTACCCAGTAAAATTATCATATCGAACAAACCATG